CTGTCAGAAAAAAGCTAGTTTCAAAAGCACCTGCTAATTGGATTGATTACATCCTTTTCCTGCACAGGAAGCATCAGGATGACAATATTAGGTGGTGGAGACAGCACCCCATCAGGCTAATGTGTACCAGTTCTATTTCGTTCTTTGGCATCTGCCAAGTTAGTGTCTTATCCTGGTTAAAGATGAATAATAAAATTGAGGTACCAGATTAATTGCTAGGGCCCTACCAAATTCACCGCCAGAAAAACACGTCACGGACCGTGAAATCTGTATAGTATAGGGTAAAAGCACACAAAAGACCAGATTTCATGGGGGAGACCTGTGTTTCTCTAATTGGAGGTCCTGACCCAAAAGGGAGTTGCAAGGTTATTTTAGGGGGATCACGATAGTGCCACCCTTACTTCTGCACTGCCTACAGAGCTGTGTGGCCAGCGAGCGGCAGATGTTGGCTGGGCACCCAGCACTGAAGGCAGAGCTCTGCCAGCAGCAGCGCAGAAGTAAGGGTGGCAATACCATACCATGCCATGCCACCCTTACTTCTGCGCTGCTGCCTTCAGAGCTGGGTGGCTGGTGAGTGGTGGCTGCTGACTGAAGGCCAAGCTCTGCAGGCAGCAGTGCAGAAGTAAGGGTGACAATACCATATCCTGCCATCCTTACTTTGTCTTCAGAGCTGGGCTCCTGTTCAGCAGCTGCTGCTCTGCAGATGCCCAGCTCTGAAGGCAGTGCTGCTGCCAGCAGCAGTGCAGAAGTAAGGGTAACAGTACCGCAATCCCCATAGCTTTGCGACTCCTCCACAACACCTTTTTGAGTCAGGACCCCTACAATTACAACACCGTGAAATTCCAGATTTAAATAGCTGAATCATGACATTTGTGATTTTTAAAATCCTGACTGTGAAATTGACCGAAATGGACTGTGAATTTGATAGGGCCCTATTTATTGCTTATGCACTGACTGCACCATTCAACCTTAGCAGGAATAGTGTTCTAGTCCATAGGAACTCCTGCAGTAAATTATCTATTTTTAAAGTATTGGTCTGGTAAAGATTATGGTTCCTCTAAAAGATAGCAAGGCTAATAAGTAATTCAGTTTGGGCATCGTATTCATCCTTAACGACATTATTTTTAGTATTACAAGTATTTAGGAGGCACCTGCCTCTTCTCATTTCCATTTCCTGTCCTCAATTGTTATGCACTAACTCTCAGGACACTGACCAGGCCCCAGATGCAGCTCCCCCAAACCCCTGTAACTCCTTGCCCCAAAAGCTCATGAAAATACCTGCCCCCCTTCCAATCCACACTGCTCTTCAGCTAGCGTAGACAATTCAAGTCAGACATCAAGCACTGAGGAGATCTGAAAATGTAGAAATCTTGTGGCTTTTATTCATTGTTAGGTTTGTGACAGAACTTTAAAAAATGGGGTTACATTGAGAAGTGACTCTTCAAGAACAGTTTGAAAAAAGCAAGAGTGGTTGCCCTGTATATCTGCGACAAAAGGGAGTTTCAGATGTTAGGAGGAAGACATGGAGATAAGCAGGAGATCAATTTAACAGAAGAGGTGAAACAAGAGACTTGGGTTGAGAGGCAGCTTTTGTATGGTGATACTGGGGCTCTTTCCTGACTCACGGTATATTTTGTGGATGATGACTGCTCTGCAGTGAGTAAGCTGATACACTTATAGATACCAGGCCATACAGACTGTTGGCTGATTTTGTCTGACCACTAGCCAAAGATGATCTTTACAGGGCGATAAATTTTTGCCAGTAATTTGGGAAGTTGCTTAGAACAGATTTCACTGTTCTTATTCCCATCTCTCTAATGTCCTGTGTGGATGTCACTGTGCATTGACTAGTCATTCAGCATTTCAGAATAAAGGGCTCTGGAGAACCTGCCAGCACTATATCACACTAAACCACAAGAGGTTTACAGTATTATTTAAGCCCTCTGAACTGTGGCATCTGATTTTTCACTGACCCTTGCTTCCCCAGAGATCTGCACACACACAGTCAGATGTGCAAATGCAGATAGCACTATTTATTATTTTCATTCCTCTCAGCTCAGCTTCTGTACAGAAGGGAGAGTGCAGCAAAGAGAGAGAGAGAGAGAAAGAGTGTGTGTGTGTGTGTGTGTGTGTGTGTGTGTGTGTGTGTGTGTGTGTGTGTGTGT